GAGACATTCTTTGACAAGTCCTTTAATAAAAGAATGTCCCCCATGACAGCTGAAACATGATGCGTGCCACTAAAATTCCGCATGACTTGATAAAATCATGTGATATTTTAGCAGCCTTTTTTAGTGGATTTTTTTTTTTTTTTGTTAATGAGCTTTGCAGCATGCTTTTTGGAATTGGTTTGAGATGCTTCTGGGATCATTCAGAATGATTGCAGTTGCATTTGATCTGCTTTTGACCTGCTTTTGAACGCCTTCAAGTTGCTTTGCATTACCAGAGGCTTTTCTGGGAAGGATGCGGTTCTGATGCAAACAAGAGCCCATCTACATTGGAGCTTTAACTTCTTCCCGACCGCCCTATAGGGGCGCACACATGCTCCCTACCCACGCTGCTATTGGCTTCTTGGCATGTTTTTTTTTTTTTTTTCAAAATTGTCGGTATTTTTTTGTTTATAGCTCAAGTACCACCAAAAGAAAGCTCTATTTGTGGGGGAAAAAATGACATAAATTTCATGTATGTGCAGTGTTGCATGACTGCGCATGCGCATTTGTCAGTTAAAGTAACGCAGTGCCGTATTGCAAAAAATGGCCTGGTCAGGAAGGGGGGTAAATCCTTTAGAGGGCAAGTGGTTAAAGGACCGCTCTTGAAAAAAATGTTTGTAATATGCTAATTGCACGTGGATAAATGAAAATGACCTGATTAACGTGTCTAGGGTAGTATCCATATCACACTTCTTATTATTTGGTATTTGAAGATATATATATACACTGTGAAAATCTTAATTGATCAACTCAGTGATGTGTTTGACTTTATGTTTCAGAAAGATATTGGCTGGAGAAAGGAAGCAAAACGTTTGATTATCTTGATGACGGATCAGACTTCTCATTTAGCACTTGACAGCAAGTTAGCAGGCATAGTCACTCCAAATGATGGCAACTGTCACCTCAAAGACAATGTTTACACCAGAGCAACAGATATGGTGAGGATACAGAAATATTTGTGTTTATTGATATTTCATTGTTGCAAAGGAAAAGTATTCATAGCAAAATAACAGGTAACATTATAGTTTTTAGGATATATGTTTAAAAGAATTCAACTTCAAATGGAACACATAGGGATTTATTTATAAAAATTTTCTATCTAGCTGTCAAGAATATTCACTGTAATTTGCCTAATATGTTTTTTTCCTGTAATCCTCAGCTCCATCTAGATATTTCCAGAAAATGCCACATTATGGCCACTAGATAGAACTGACGATCATAGGAAATAAATGTATTATGCAAATTTCAGTGATTTTTCACAACAGCTGAGCAAATGCTTGTGACATTTATCCAGCATTTAAAAAAAAAAAAAATAGACCTGTAGTGTTTTGTCACATTTTTCTTTATGTATTAGTTAAGTTGAGGACTAAAATTTAATTTTTTACAGAATTCACAAGGACTATCACCAGTTATTGTGACAAGGTTTCAATAAACCCCCTGTGTAGCCAGTGGCAAAAGCCAACAACAGGAGAGTTAGGCTACGTTCACACTAGCATTGTGTGCAGGCGCGGCAGAGAGGCGTTTGGGAAGCGTTTTTAAAGCTTCCCAAATGCCTCAGGACAATTCTGCACATTGCAGCACATGGTGCTGTTCTAATGGGAGCATTAGCGTCACGTCGCGGCAAAACGTATGCCTCTGGTCGAGTCAGGAGGCGTTGAAGCCTCCTATTCTAGTCTATGGTGCCGGCGTTTGCGGTGCGGTTGCGACACGGTTGCGGGTCGTTTGCGAAGCAGTAACACCATTTAAACTTCATTATAGGCGTTTGTGGGGCGTTTTTAATGCTCAATGAACGCTTGGCAACCGCCGTTAAACCTCGCATGCAGCGTTTGCGGAGCATTAAAAAACGCTCCGCAAACGCCGGACCAACGCTTGCCAAACGCTATAGGGGCGTTTGGCAAGCGTTGGTAAAACAGTCAAGTGTGAACGAGCCCTTAGATGGTAGAATTTTGGAAGCTCACAGCAAAGACACAGTAGCTGTCTGTAATTCCTTTACTGGGTTTAGTAAATATAGTTTTTAGGTGACATGACTGATATCCAGGCCTCACTGCCACAGTCGCTGTTCCTGATTTGACATCTGTGCGGGTGAGGTTTTGTGTGGGTCCCTGGACGCAGACAGTGTGGGTTCAGAGACCCACACAGATGCCATTTTGGGAGCAGCAACTGTATCTGTGCAACTGCTGCATCCCAATTGACATGAATGGGACAGAATACCTGTACATCCCATGCAGACAAAACACAGCCCTCACACAGATGTACACTAAAGAATGCCCATGTGAACGAGGCCTAATTCTTATTTTAAAGGCATTGTTACTCTTGTTTATGTTAATATCTGTTTGCAAAATAGTTCCAATTTAGTAACATGTTTTTCTCTCCACAGGAACACCCATCACTGGGCATGCTTGGCCAAAGATTAGTTGACAACCATATTTATGGAATATTTGCTGTACGGGGAAACGCATTTGATTGGTACAAGGTAGCACCATCCTAAAGTGATCACTCTAGTTTATTATTTCATTTAACTTTCTAAGCTTCATTTTCCATTTTACTTCTGCAGGACCTCATGCCCTTGCTGCCAGGGACAATAGCCAAGCAATTTGATGCCACTGCCTCTGACATCAATAATTTGGTGGTTGAGGCTTATAAGGTCAGTGTTTTCAACAGACAGGTTGTTCATCAATACCTTTGTGAAACATTTAGTTTATGAGTGTTTTAGTTCATTTCTTGTGCCTCCAGGTAATTTATCCTTACAAACATTTTTAGGTGCTGTATTGATGAACGACTTCCAATTTTTTTATGACTGTGTGACATATCTATCTGTCATTATTGTTAATGAATCTTAAAAAGATTAAAGCTGGTCTCTAGGTAAACATATACAAATGAATACTTACTGTACTGTGTATGGAAGCTGTTTACCTTTCAAAGGATTTTAATTTCGGTCCATGCAGTTTTGAGATTTATACAGCCCTGCCACAATACAAAGCAAGGCATATGACAGCAGTTTCTCTATTACAGTTAAAGCTCCATTCACATGGGTGTCATCCATTCAGTTATATTTTTTCAATGAAATAACAGAGTAGGTTTATATCAGTTTTTACATCTGTTTTCAGTTCAGTTTACATCTGTTTTTTCAACCACTATTTACATCCGCGCGCCAGCGTCTTGACAACCAGGACTCATCCCTGCTGTCAGCCAGGAATGTAAGCAAAGGAGCCTGTCAGTGAAAACAATAAGTGGGCCCACAGATCCCACCCCCCCATGTGAATGAGTATAGGGTACACAGTACCTCTATTCATTCACCAAGAAAATGACAAATGCAAATACAAACACAAAACAATTCCTTTACAAAAAAAAAAAAAATGTTATCTTTAAATTTCCCACCATGTAAGGCCGTCATCAATCAAGTCATCCAGCATTGTAGGTCTATGTCATTCACGATGAACGATGGCCACCAACCCGCACAAAAAGAAAAAAAGACGCCGACACTCAACCTCCCCCATAGCTACTAATGTAAACAAATAGGTAGGGTCACCCTGATGAGGTCATTGATGTCACCCAAGTGACCCTACCTCTATTTACTTTAGCGGCATGGACTCAGATCCACGTCTGATTGTGTAGCTTGCTTAGAAAGGAATGACATCTCTGGTCTACCCAACCACACCAACCAGTATGGAAAAAAAAAAAAGCTGACACTCGACTGATCCCATTGCTTTCTAGCACCGAATGACAGCTCCGCTAACCCCGCCACTAAAGTAAACAATGAATCGAGGGTCATCCGGTGACGTCATTGACCAAATATGGATATGTCCATATATGGTCAATGACGTCACCAGGTGACCCCAGATGGCGGGGGGACCCTACATATTTTTGTTTGTTTGGTGTAGGGTACCTCTTAAAATCTATACCAGACCCTTATTTGAGCAATAAAAAGTCATACTTCCTTAAAAATAGAACTGAATGGAACAGATAAAAACATACCTCATCTTTTTACATCAGATGCTCATCTCTTTATATTCATTATCCCATAGAGATGCATTGCTGTCCGTTTTTCATCCTTCAGAACGTCCATGTGAAAGAGGCCTAAAGTATACTTTAAAAGAATTTATAAAATTAAAGATCAACACAAAGAATATGATTTACCATCAGTGTGAGGTGTCCCTTGTATATTTGTGTCCTGGTTTAATAGAAATCCTGCTCGTCCATCTCCCCACCCCTGCTGCTGTAATCTTCTGATACAGAGTGGGTTAATATCAAAAGTACCTGACTATGCCCACCCTTTCCATCCAGCTCCACCATTCATAGATGCTGTTCTACATGAATGAACATAATTTATGGAGGACAAAGGGATGATTGCCTTTAGCTCTATATTTTTTTTTAGTGTGTGGGCCAGAGGAGCCCTTCCCCTGAGTATAAGCAATATTGAGACCTTGATTTATGGGAAGGTGGCGCTGCCTGAGCTCCAGGTCAGGGCTGAAATCAAAGCCTTAGCTCAGAATGAGATGGGAAAGAGGGTCTCTTCAAGTGCAAAAGACAGGTCTACCTATAATGGGTAAACATTAGTTATTACTATTTTTATTATTATTATTACAGGTACTTACAGTATATAGCGCCGTCAGTTACATATGAATTGAAATTATTTTTGACATTTTCACTTTCAAGAAACACAGAAATCACTTTAGTAGTCTAAAGGAATGCTGAAAAAATATATTTCCATAGAACCTGCATCTGCTATTTGCAGTAAAGTTTCTCCCCAGCAAGTTTTTGTTCCTACTACAGAAGTGTATTAATATGCAGCTTGTGAGCAGAGCTTACAGTACATTCTTTATGGATAGGAAACAATTCATCTATTCAGCTAAACTTACACAAATAGTCTTTTTCATGTTTCTGCAGAAAGAGGAGATTTATTTTTCTAAATAAAATTTAGGATGAACTTTGATGTGTTCTTCCAGGCGCTTGTCTCAGAGGTGAAGATTCAAGTGTATAATACCATGAAGGGTATTTCTGTAAATATCACTGCTATCTGTCCGGATGGGAGTAGACATTCTGGAGTGGAGGGATGTCACAATGTAAAAAATAATGATAAGGTATGTTACAGCCTGGATATCCTTCACAACTGTGGACATCAATAACATCTGCGTGTTTTAATAGTCTGCAGTATATGTGCCGTATTCATCTCTGTTGACAGTTTATAATTTTCTTATTTTAAAGTGAGTATTCTTTTTATGCATAATTATTCTACTGCTAGACATAAAGCGGAGTTCCACTCAAAAGCGGAAGCTCTGCTTATTTGCCTCCCCCCCCCCCTCCACTGCCATTTTTGGCACCTTTTGGGGGGGAGGGGTGCCTGGTTTTGGCAGGTACCCGCTCCCACTTCCGACTCAGTTCACCGCGGCAAAGAGACCCGGAAGTTCGGCCCCTCCTTGCTCCCGCCATCTCCTAGGAACATTTGCAGGTCCCAGGAGACTGTCAGACCAATCAGGAGGCGTGGTGCGACTCGTGCATGCGCAGTGGGCACCCGGCTGTGAAGCCGCAAGCTGTCACAGCTTGGTGCCTACAGTAGAGATGCTGGCGCCATCCAGGACAGAAGGAGAGAAGGGACTGTGCGGGGTGAGTACATCGCTGGACCCCAGGACAGGTAAGTGTGTGTTTATTAAACATCAGCTGCTACAGTTTTTGTAGTTGCTGACTTTTAATAAACACAAAAACGGCTGAAACTCCACTTTAAGGGACTACCTGATTTTTGGCAGTCGTATCTAGCTACTGTTGCATGTGTGTGCCACTCAGTCTATTTATCTTTATGGCTGGTCCTCACTCATGTGGAATAATTCAGTCATAGGAATAATTGGCCCACGTGAGGAGCATGTATACTAGGAGCTGGATTTGGCTCTTCTTTTGCAAAGACTATGTATTACTAAGCAGGGCTGCATAGTGAGTGCCATTTTAGGCAGCATTGTACTGTTTATACATTCTACAATTTTCTTGTTCAGTTTCCTTTAGATTTACCATCAACTATGTAGTGCAAGGGCTTGCTTGATTGCGTACAAATTGAGAGTGTTTAGGTTTGACCTCATATTATATAGTTTTGGTAGATCTAAAGGAAAATTGTGGAAGAAAATTGTATAACGTGTGGCCAGCATTATGACTGCATTTTGCCCCCAGTGGTGTGGAAATGACACCTTGGGCTCAGATCAAGTTATTTAATAATTGTGGCCATCATTCATTACCAGAGAGGACCAGCAGCTTGAGGTGGAGCAGAGTCTGAAAGGGACAATGTCAAGGTGAAGTTGTATATTGCAGAGAGCCTTTGCTAATTTTATACTTTTTAAAAACACCAGGGCAATCTATTTTTAAGTTATTGACTTAAAGTGGTTTTAAAGGATGAGTTTTATTTTACCACAATGCATTCTCTGCATTAAGGTAAAAAACCTGTAGTGCAGCTTCCCCCGTTAGCCCCCCCTTCTATTTACCTGAGCCCGATCTCAGTCCAGCTCTGTGCACATTAACAGCGTCTCTCTCGGCTCTCTCCCTCCTCATAGATTCAGAGACTGGCTCTCGTTGCTGTCAATCATAGCCCGTGTCTATGGACACCCAGGGGCTGATTTACTAAAAGTGGAGAGTGCAGCTCTGCATAGCAACCAATCAGCTTCCAGGTTTTTGTGTCAAAGTTTAATTAACCAAGCTGACGTTAGAAGGTGATTGGCTATCATGCACAGCTGCACCAGATTTTGCACACTCCAGTTTTAATAACTCAACCCTACAGAATCAGCTCGGAAGCAAGCCAGCACAAGTGCCACATAGCAAGCAGTTTGTTACGGCGGGCACTCGGTGGAGGGGAAAGGCCAGGAGCACTATATATATATATATATATATATATATATATATATATATATATATATATGGGGTTTACAATCATTTTAGGATGGAAATTATATTTAGAGTAACCCTTTGTGTTTTTTTTACCGCAAAGCTCCGGCCAGCATCTTTAGAACCTGGAGAACTCCTGAACTTGAGGCACTTGATATGCTAATATTACTTTTTGCAGGGAAAGTTGAGGAGTGGCATTGCCTCCACCACCTGCTGCTATGCAATATTGGTTGTTCAATAAATGAATGGCATTGGTGTGCAGTAGGAAGTTGCAGAAACCAGGCCAGCAAGATTGACCTATCAGAACAGCCAGGGTTTAAGGCAGGAGTGTCCAATCTGCAGCCCAAGGGCCGCATGCACCCCATTATGGCTATGAGTGTGGGCCAATACAAAATCATAAACTAACATAAAAATGTTTTTTGGGGGTTTTTTTTTTGTAAAAATGCATTTATACCTAGTGAACACATGCGGCCAAAGAAAACGTTGACATTGTCTCTTCACTCGACTTTTATAAGTTTTATGTTCCTCAAAAAAATATCCCACTCTTCACAATCACCTTATTCATGTCATCAGTTTTTGGCAGCACCTATATTTGTGAGCAGCTATTTTCAAGGATGAAGCACACAAAGGGAAATATTAGAACCAAAATATTGAATGAGCACCTTGAGAATTCATTGAGAATTGCTCCCCAGATATCGATGTGTTAGTTTATCAAAAACAGTGTCAAATATCACACCAGTATGATGTTGCCCTCTTTTACTTTTAAAATAAAAAAATATTCCAAAAAAAAAATAAAGTTCTTTTACTCAGATATGTTCACTATCTGTATCAGTGATCATTAACTTGTGGTCTGCCCGTCTTTTTTTTACTGCTCATCAGCTATCCCTATTGTTGGTGTATTTTATACATGTGACCCAAAACAATTCCTCTTTTTCCAATGTGGCCCAGGAAAGCAAAAAGGCTGGACACCCCTGGTTTAAGGGATTTCTGGAGACCAGAAGATGCTGGTCAAAGTTATATGCAGAAAGTTGAGGGTGTCTAAAATGCATCACACCTACTAAATTACACTGCTGTAGCAAAAGAGAGGTTTGCTTTAAAGTATTAGTACACATTTTAAAAAAAAATCTATATTTGTCTTCCCCTTGACTTCTGTAGTTATAAGCAAAAGTAGTACTTCCAAAAGGAACCCTTAGGAACACTGTTTAACCTACCCACACTGAACCTGCATAGCACATCTGCTAACATAGGGATGTGGGACTGGTCATAGGGAGTAATGGCCAGTCTACCAAGTTCCCATTTTCATAAAAGAAGTTGTCTTTTAATAGGTGCAATGAACATGGTACTTTCAGAGGCTAGGATGCTAGAAATGGGCAGTTTGTAGAAGGAAGTTAACAACATTTTGGGTGAACACATAAACAAGGGAGATCACAAAAACTTTAATTTCGTCTTGATGACAGCAGCCTTAAAGCAAACATGTCAGCTTATTCTTAGGCAGGACTCTTACTTTTAAAAGTTTAAAATAGTTAACAGGTTTGCTTTCATTTTCAACCACAGAACATTGACATGACACAGCTGTAAATCTCGTTTATTTTCTTGTATATTGTCCGGTGTTACTAGGAAGCATATATTCTAGCATTACTGCAAATTATTGTTGGTCCCTACTGTTCATACACATAGACATTAACAGAACAAAGCAAAACTAGAATGATATATTGAAGGTTAAGGGGAATTTGCTATGGATACTACAAAAATATACAAAAAGTGAAAAGCCACACTAAAAGGTTATAATTAGTTTTTGTTTGGCAAGTCGAAACAGTGTTTACATTAAAAGTAAGAACTCATTTTCCTTTTAATGCAATGGTTACGTGATGTTTAGCTTAGAAAAAAATATTCTTTTTTCAATTTTTTTTTATATAATTGTAAATGAAAACAGCACTTATTCCTTGTCTAACAATCATTTTGTGGAAAATGCATTTATGTGTCTATCTGCTCCATGTATTCAATGTCTCAGTTTCTTAGAAAAACAAAGGCTGACGTTCTTTGTGGACAGTTCAAAAAAATTAGCCTCACCTATAAAACTGTACGTGGTGCAGTTGGCCCTTGTTTGACCTGAACATCTGTTATGGGAAATGATTGCACAAATGGCAGATTAAAAGTGTCAAAGGCTTCCATCTGCACTTTCCACCTTCAGTTAAATTTTTCATCATTACACACTGTTGCCAAATTTTCTGAATGTGTCCCAGCTCTAGCTCTAGTTAATGTTTTGAAGGTTTTATTGATTTCTTCACTGTAGTAAAAACATGGACACATCTTTAGATATCTTCTTTTTGGGTTTCTTTGATTGTACCTGAAGAACTCATCCATAGTAATTTTCTTTTTGGCTTTGGTTTCTGTCAGTGAAACTCTAATCTCAAAGGTATACCTATATTTGTGATTTGTCAGAATAGACTGAGATCTACAAGTAATTTTTTGGGTCCATAGATGTGTTATTTCATCCTGAAGTTTACCAAGAACCATACTTTTTGGGGGAAATTTCTGAACAATAGAAATCTGAGAACTGGGTTTTAGAAAAATGGCTAATGTACCATTGGGATTCCACTGGGATTATCCCTATTATACACAATCCTATTTTGCTGCTTTGTTTAGTTTCTTTTTCTCTTCTATTTCATTTATTACTGTTCTATGGACCTGCCTCATACTTAGTTATGTCATAAAAATGTTAAGTTTATTCTGAAGCAATTATCATGTCTCCAAAAGACTGACTGTTGCCAAATTTTCTGACTGTGTCCCAACTTTAGCTCTAGATAATAACGGAACTCTAATCTCAAAGGTATACCTATATTTGTGAGTTGTGAAAATAACTTGAGATCTACAAGTAATTTTTTGGGTCCATAGATGTTTTCTATTCTGAAGTTTACTAAGAACTTTTTTGGTGGGATTTAAGAACAATGGCAAACTGACAAATGTGTTTCCAAAAAATTGGCCAATGTACCACTGGGATTCCACTGGGATTCTCCCTATTGTACACCATTATATTTTGTCCCTCTGTTTAATTTATTTCCTCTGCTGTTTCATTTATTACTGTTATATGGACCTGTCCCATACTTAGTGATGGCCATAAAAAATTTTTTAGTGTATTGTGAAGCTGTTATCATGTCTCCAAAAGACTGACAGGGAAAATTCTGAGCAGAGACAAAGGACTCATAAGCAGGTGAAACAA